CAAGACTGATGGGAACCCCCCGACCCTGCAGCCCTCGTGGCCCTATGGGCTGACAGTTCGTGAGGGCACAAGGGCTGAATGGGGGGTTGGTGGTGGGTGTGGGTCTGTTTCCTGATCCCAGCAGCCCTGTGTGACCCCTTCCGTCCCACACATGGCCCCCTGCAGGGCTGAGTCACCTTCGGGACGTGTTACCTCCTTGGGAGTCTGGATGTCCTTCCAGCCCTCCCCCGCCAGGTCCCTCCAGCCCCAGACAAAGGTGCCCTTTGGACGCTAAGCCCAGGTGATCTCCGCGGCGCCAGGGCTGCACTAATCCTCTCAGGGTGGCCAGGGGACAGGCCGGCCTCGTGGCCACCAGGGCCTGGCTGGCCTTAGGACCGAGGACAGGCACAGAGCCTCAGGTGACTGACGACAGCCACCTTCATGTGTGCACCGCCCCCTGCAGTTGATAGTGAGCATCGGTTCCCACTCCCGGGCATGCGGAGAGGCACCATTGCCCTCTTTGCATTTTATTTCCATTTACAAATATTTGTTTGACAAGCATTTTATCACACTTAGTAAGTGCTAGGCAATGGGGAACCACAAAGATTTTACACGAGGGAGGCCAGGAGCAGATGTACTCAGGTAAGTGTGATCATTTTGAAATATTTCCCATTTCCCCATTTTGCAGAAGTGGGGACAGGGGCACAGAGAAGGAAAGTCACTGACACAAGTTTATGCTCATAGCAGGTCAGGTAGGATAAATCGCTAGGCAGTGGCAGCTTTCACCGAGGGAGCCCAAAGGGGGACTGCTATTTACTGAGCTCTCCTGAGGCTCCAGGCACATCTCAGACATCTCCTATGTAACCCTCCAAACCCTGCTGGGGACGTGCAATTATGCCCATTTTGCAGGTGGCCAGACTGAGGCTGGGAGGAGAAGTGATTGTCTAGGCTGAAAGGGCAGATGGCATGTGGGAACGCAGGTGTGTGAGACTCTTGGGGTCCCCATCCCAGGGGCCCTTCCAGCCCCCATAGCAGGTGACAAGGTGGCCCAGATCTGGGGCTGCAGCTGCTTCCTCAGGCCCCTCACGGCCCTCCCAGACTTGCTGCCACCTGGCGCCAGCAGGGACCCAGGCCCATGGGGAGAAACATACCACCTGTGGGCCCTACCGTGTGCCAGGCCCCACTCTCAGAGCCCTGCAGGCCGGGACGGTTTCAATCACGAGCTTACAACCAAGCAAACAGCGAGAACTGGCAGCAGAATCCAAGCCCAGCAGCCAGCTCCAGAGCCTTAACTGTTCTGCTAATGTACCCGCTGCAGATGGGGAAACTGAGTCCCAAAGAGAACTGGCCCAGGAGCACAGGAGAAGCCAGCAGGGACATCGGCGCAGCTTGGCAGGACTTCACGTCAATGACTCCTGCCTTCAGGGCCCCCACCTCCAGGGAAGAGGCAGGAAGCGTCTCCACGTGGGGTTTGGGGCAACCACACGCCATTCCCGGCCCGACCTGAGAGTGGGTCTTGGCGGGGTGGGGGAGAGACAGTGCCCCCGCCTCGCAGAGTTAGCAGACAGGCGGGGAGGGGTGGAGAAGACGTGGCATGGATTAATTGCAGAGGTGGGGCCTGGGCTGGGGCTGGGGGAGGGAAGGAATGAGGCCTCAGAGAGGAGCCAAGCCGGTGGAGAGTAAGAGATGCATTCATTCATTCACTCATTCATTTGCTACACTGGCATCTGCCTGTGCTGGCCTAGGAGTGGGGCACATTCCTGGTTTGCCTGGAGAGAGGACACCTCGGTCTGGGGACCAGGTCCCTGCGTGATACAGAGGAAGGGTGGTGGCTGGGGAAGCATTCCATAGCAGCTGATGGAGAACCGATGGAGTCTGGAGAGGGCATTGTAGGTGGCAAGGGTTGCACGTATAAAGGCCCAGAGGTGTGCTGGCCGGGCCCGGTGGCTCACCCCTGTAATCCTAGCACTCTGGGATGCCGAGGTGGGCGGATTGCTTGAGCTCAGGAGTTCGAGACCAGCCTGAGCAAAAGTGAGACCCCATCTTTACCAAAATGAAAGGAGAAAAAAAATAAAACAAAACAAAAACCCAGCCGGGCATTGCAGCATGCAGGCCTGTAGTCCCAGCGACCCTGGAGGCTGAGGCACGAGGATCGCTTAGAGCCCAGGAGTTGGAGGGCGCAGTGAGCTACAGTGACACCACTACACTCTACCCAGTCGACAGAGTCAGACTCTGTCTCAACAAAAAACAGACAAGGTAACTGAACACCCCTTCTCACAACCTTTCACCCCTTAAAAAAAAGATAGAAAAAAAAATAGGCCCGGAGGCAGGGTGGAGGCGGGCTGGGAGGAGCGACCAGCTCCGAGTGAGGGAGGAGTGGGATGTGAGTGGAAGGCCCTGAGGGCCGAGGGAAGAGGTCTGGGCTGCGTCCCAGTGTGTCCTGGAGGGACAGCTGGGAACGGACAGAGGGCACCTCCTGGGGCGATGGAAATGCTCCATGTCACGACGAGGGTCTGGGCTGTGGCTCCCAGGCTGTATAAAATTGTCAAAACTCAGCAAATGAACCCTTAAGATCTGTGCGTGTCACTATCTAAAGATCTAAAGTAAAGGAGCAAAATTGCACGCATGGTGAAGCGTTTCCTGGCGGTATACTGATGTCTGCAGCTTTGACATGCATAAGAAATAAAAGGTGGATTAATGGATGATGCACACATGACAGACTGCTAATGGCAGGTGTGGCTGGCAGGTGCGAGGTGCCAGGTGTGTGAGTGCACACTGCACGGTCTTTCAACTTTGCCGCATGTGGGAAATCGTCGAAATGAAATATTTGGGGGAAACAGTCTACATGGCCCAAAAAGCCCATCTTGGGCGCCAGCCGTAGGTTTGAGGGCTTAGATCCGTACCCATCTCCCCTGATCTTCAAGTCAGCCCTGCGAGGCAGGTACTATACCCATTTAACAGATGGAAATAACGTGAGGCTCAGAGAAGGGAAGGGACTGGCTGAAGGTCACACAGAGCTCTGGGGGTTGAGCAGGCTTTGAACCCGGATCATGCTGAGGGTGTGTCCAGTCCTGGGCACCTCCCGTCTGCCCAGACCAGCTGGAATGAGCAGGGCCTGCCTCGGAGCTGGAAACCAGGCACATCCGGGGACCTTTCCAGTTCCCTCGTCTGGGGGGCTGGTGGGGTGTCTAGGAATGTGCCCGGACCAGGGACTGATAAACCCCAGCTCAGGTGACACCAGCTGGAGCTAAGCATAGCTCTTGGAATTAGCCACAAACCGCAAACCCTTGTGGTTTTGGGGCCCAGTGCTTGATTCGCAGAACAAATTTGAGTTCCGGTCTCCCATAATTACATGGTGTTTCCCTGTCTGGGTCTGGGCTCGGACTCTGGCTGCTATATAAGACTGGAGTGTGACCAGATTTGCCCAAAAGCAGAGGGCCCGACGAACGGGACCTCTTAGGACTCAGCGGCAGGACCTCCTGGGGGTAAGGAGAAGCCCTTCCCTGTTCAGTGTCCAGCCAGCTCGATATCTGCCAGGGCGACCCCTCTCTGAGTGCATGTGTCTTCTCTGTAGCATAAGCCTAGTCAGGAGAACCTCTTGGGGATCAACAGAAAGGCCAGAGTCATGCCAATTACATGCGCAGCAGAGCTGCACTCATCTTTCCCAGGAATGCTGGGGACCTGGGACCTTTGCTACCTCCCTGAGATGTCTCAGCTGTTTGCTGATGCAGGAACCTCTCCACCGGTGCCCACTTTTTAACTGAAGGGGGTGAGCCCTCTTTGAACACAGAGCTCTCTGGGCAGAGAGGTTTGGAGGAGGCGAGGAAACTAGAAAAAGAAAATTCTTGCACATATTAATCCTTCACATTCTAGTATAAATGAGTGTCTCCACTACACTCCTGGGAATAGATAGGAGTGGGGAAAGAACTTGGGGGCTTTATGAACGCCAAGAAACATGGAGACAGGGAAAAGAGAAGAGGGTGCATAAGTGGAGGGAGCCAAGGTCAACAATTTCATTTTGGCCCAGACGGGAGCCCATGTTCTGCACTGATTCTCTGAGGCTCATGAATGGGTAACCTGGGCTGATGGAATGAGAGAAGTGGGCCAGGGCATGGAGGCAGAAAAATAAAGTTTCCCGGAGGCTGGTCAGCTCATTCCAAAAGGCATGCTTCACCCCTCCAATCTCAACACATTCCCCACACACTTCCTGGGGGTCTGAAATAATAGTCCCCAAATGATAACAATAGCTGCAGTTTATTGCATCTACTATGTACTATATGACATGTTTGTAATTAAGCAGCAGAGATTCAAAAAGGTAAAGTCTCTTTCCTAAGGATTAGAACCCAGACAGCTCTGATCCAGAGCCCTTAATCCTAACCACACGGTGTAGAACTGATTTCTCCAAGGGGGTGGGAAGGGTGCTTGCTGGCTGGATACGTGGAAGGGGGGCTAGACGGATGTGTTGATGGGTGGATGGACTGATGGGAAGATGGATGGGTGATGGATGGATGGACGGATGGATGGATGGCTGTTTGAATGATGGGTGGATGACAGCTAGATGGGAAGATGGATGGCCGGCTGGATGAATAGGGGGGAGAATGGATTGGGAGAGAAGAGTGGATGGCCGGGTGGGAGAATAGATGGGTATATGCTGGAGAGGTTCCCCAGAGCCTGCCTGCTACCAGCTATTTGACTTTTTTTGTTGGAATCCTCATTAGCCCTCTCTCCGAGGCTCAATTTATAAACCCCGTCTTGGGCGATCAGCAGACATCTGTGCTCTGGGACGGTTAGGTCCGCTTTGTGTTACCAGGTTCATTTCAGTTTGAAAAATCCAAAAGGTGGTTTCAGGAATTCTGGCCCCCGAGCCACTGTGTGACCTTGGTGGTGTCCCCTGTCCCTGGGTCTCAGGGCCCTGAGAGGACTCTTGGCGGAGGGTGCCTAGCGCCCCCTGCTGGCGGGGGGGGGTGGCGCCCAGCCACGGCCACCTACAGCTGCCCCCTCCGCAGGGAAGCAGCGCCAACATGTGGACGGCGTGGTGTGTGGCTGCTCTGTCCGTGGCGGCTGTGTGTGGCATCCGCCAAGAGACAAACACGGTCCTCAGGGTCACCAAAGATGTGCTGAGCAATGGTGAGTCCGGTCCTGAAGGGGGCTGTGGGCGGCATGAGGAGAGCAGGGCAGGCCAGCCAGCTCCGAGGTACAAGGACCCACCTCGTACTGGCAGATTCCACGTCAGAGGGCTGGGTGACTCCTCCTCTCTGGGCCTCAGTGTCCCCTTTTCCTCTTGGCTACCATTTCCTGTGCACCTACTATGTGCCAGGCACCTATATTACATTCATTCTCTTGAGGCAGTCGAGAGCAGTGATTAAGAACTTGGGTGCTAGAGTCAGCCTTCCTGGGGTTCAAATCCTGACTGTATGACCCCAAGTCCATGACTTGAGTTCCCTGAGCCTCAGTTTCCTTACCTGTAAAATGGGTGTAATTATGGTCCCCCCATCTCAGGAACTGATATGAGAGTTAAATGAAACGACCTTTTGAAAACTTAGCACAGTCCCTGGTACATAGAAGGCCCTCAAAAGCAGGAGCTATCATGATTCCTGCCTCCAATTCTTAGAAACTCACTTTGTCCTCTGGCAAATAAGGACACATTCCCTACCTCGATGCCCGTCCAAAGCTATCATAAGAATAAAAAATGAGACTATTTCCTATCTGTGTAGTCTCTGAGTACTTTACAGGCCTCGATTTCTCTACCCATCAAATGGGGGTGATTATTCTGGCCTTGGATTATTTCCCAGAATCAGGGGAGATAATGCACGAGGAAGCAGATTTTTAAAGCTGTGAAGTGCAGAGCCCTTGGACGGGCGGGCGAAGAAGAAAACCCATGAAGGTGTGGCTGAATGATGTCACAGTCTGGCTAAAGTGAGATGAGCAAAACCCAGCAGACAGAGGGCTCGCCAGGACCTCAGGGCCTGGAGAAGTCTTCCCATGCAACCCGCGCGCTTTCCTGCGGGGAAAGCGAGGCCCGGAGGTGGCACCTGGGGCTGGGGGTGGCAGAAAGGGAGGCACCCGGACTGAGCACCCGACTGACGCTCTGCCTCTCTGCAGCCATTTCCGGCACCCTGCAGCAGAGCGATGCCCTCCGCTCGGCCCTGAGAGAGGTGCCCGTGGGTAAAGCCGGCGGTGACAGTGGCGGGCCCCTCCTGGGGGGCCTGCTTGGTGGCAGTGGGAGTGGAGGCGGTGGGGGAGGTGGTCTCCTGGGGGGCCTGCTTGGTGGTGGGGGTGGAGGGGGTGGCGGTGACCTGTTGGGTGGAGGCTTATTGGGCGGTGGCGGCAGCAGTGGTGGGGGGCTCCTGGGTGGTGGCAGCAGTGGTGGGGGGCTCCTGGGTGGTGGCAGCAGTGGTGGGGGGCTCCTGGGTGGTGGCAGCAGTGGAGGGGGTCTTTTGGGTGGTGGCAGCAGTGGTGGGGGGCTCCTGGGTGGCGGTGGCAGCAGTGGTGGGGGCCTGTTGGGTGGCAGTGGTGGGGGGCTCCTGGGTGGCAGTGGTGGGGGGCTCCTGGGTGGCGGAGGTGGTGGTCTCCTGGGTGGCGGCCGACACCGTTATGATGACTACAGACGCGCTGACTTCCCCCGAGGTGTTGGTGGCGTTCCCTACAATGACTTCCATGTCCGAGACCCCCTCCCAAAATACACCAACGGCAAACAGCTTGGCGGGAGTTACAAGTACGGTCACATTGAGACCAACGACAACACCGCCCAGCTGGGGGGCAAATACCGGTACGGCGAGATCCTTGAGTCCGACGGAAGCATCCGGGACCTCGGGAAGGGCGACTACCGCGACGCCGGGAGCGCGTACGGCGGCCACAGGGGCCACCTGCGATACAGGTCGGCCGACGGCGCGGCGACGGTGGGCCGGCGTCACCGGCGAGAGCTGCAGCCCGGGGAAATCCCGCCGGGGGTGGCCACGGGGGCGCTGGGCCCCGGCGGCTTGCTGGGCACTGGAGGCATGCTGGCCGCCGACGGCATCCTGGCGGGCCAAGGCGGCCTGCTCGGCGGAGGCGGTCTCCTCGGTGACGGAGGACTTCTCGGAGGAGGGGGAGTCCTGGGCGTGCTCGGCGAGGGCGGCATCCTCAGCACCGTGCAAGGCATCACGGGGTAAGGAGGGGCCGGGCGCCCCGTCAAGCTGCCACGGAACCTGCAAACAGGGTGGTCACTCCCAGAAGCTGGCTTGGGACAGGGCAGGGCTTCAGCGCCCCCCACACCCCAGGGCTTGGCCTTAGGGCTGGGCGTCTTCAGAGCCCCAGGTTACGTGGCTGGGGGCCCCGGCCGGAAGCAGTCCTGCATTGGAGAACCTGCTCAACCTTTCACATTCATGTGTGACTTTGGGCCAGGGGTCCTCACACTACCGCCCAAGGCCACATGCCGCCCGCCAAGGACATTTTTTCGGCCTACCAGGTATTTTTGCCGCCACTGCCTGTCCTGCTTAGCAGCCGACTGGTCCCGGTCCCACAGTGCGCATGTGTGGAATGTGCACCGCACTCTCCAACGGCCCTCCGATGGTCTGAGGGACAGTGAACTGACCCCCTGTTTAAAAAGTTTGAGGACCCCTGCCTTGGGCCATTCTTTTAATCTCGCTGAGTCTCAGTTTCCTCATCTGTAGAATGGCCAAATCTATAGTTTAAGTGGAAAAAGCCCAGGGATTTAAATTGTACATACATACTATAATTTCAACTATGCTCAGCCTCTTCCTCACAGTCAATATGGAATCCAACAAATACTCAGAGCTCCCACTATGTGCAGGACACTGTGCTGGCATTGGGAGTGACCCAGTGGCTAGCCAAGGAAAGACACCCCTGTCCTTAGGGAGCTCGCAGGCCAGTGGGGGGCGTGGGCACTGCTAGAGAAGAGCGTAACCACACAAGCATAGCAGGAGCGAGAAGTTCAAGGGGAAACGCGGACGTGTGTGTGTCACGGGGGAGTTCGCCTATCTGGGGAGGTCAGGGAGCCTCCTGGAGGAAGAGGCCTTTGAGCTGAAATCCAAAGAACGTACAGGAGGGAACCAGGCAAAGAGGGGCACGGACAAGTAGAGGGAATGGCATCTGGACATGCAAAAAAGATTTGAAGGAAGCTCATGGAAATGCGAACAGTGGGTCTCTGGGCATTGGGGTTACAGGTGGTGGCATTTCTTGCCTCCAACTTCTCTGTGTTTTCCAACTGTCCGTGAACCTCAGGTCTCTTTAGAGTCAGGAGCAGTGCAAGGAGGTGTGGGGGAGGGTGTCCTGGGAGAGTGGGTGGCAGTGGGGGAGGGTGCCCCGGGCGAGTGGGTGGCAGTGCAGGGAGGTGTGGGGGAGGGTGCCCCGGGCGAGTGGGTGGCAGCGCAAGGAGGTGTGGGGGAGGGTGCCCCGGGCGAGTGAGTGGCAGTGGGGGAGGGTGCCCCGGGCGAGTGGGTGGCAGTGGGGGAGGGTGCCCTGGGCGAGTGGGTGGCAGTGGGGGAGGGTGCCCCGGGCGAGTGGGTGGCAGGGAGAAGGACAGCCACCTTCTCCCTGCTCTCCGCCCTGTGCAGGCTGCGCATCGTGGAGCTGACCCTCCCTCGGGTGTCCGTGCGGCTCCTGCCTGGCGTGGGCGTCTACCTGAGTTTGTACACCCGCGTGGCCATCAACGGGAAGAGGTATGTGCGTGCCCTCGGCCCTGGGGGCGTCCCCACCACCCTGTGTCCTAGTCTCTGTATCCATAACGCACAGACTAGGCAGACCTAACGTGTCGCCAGCACGCGGCTTGCACGCTCGGACTCCAGCTCACCTGTCGGCAGTGAAGGTGGCTTAGCTCAGCGGTTAAGAGCTGGGAGGCTGGAGTCGGTGACAGCCTGGGTTCAAATCCTGACTCTCTTAAAAGCTGCATGACTTTGGGCCAGTCCCTCATGTCACCGAACCTTAGTGTCTTCGCTTGCCATGGGATAATAAGACCACCTCCTTCTCTAGGTGGCTGTGGCCGTAGTGAGGGACAGCAAGCAAAATGCCTCCCTGAATGGTGCCTGCCACGTAGTAGGTGCTTATTAGAGGACCTCAGAGGGTGGACTTTGCATCAGTTTTCCCCCATAGGATGAGGTCCTGTCTAGTAAGCTAGGTGGCCGGGCAGTCACCTTGGAAACCAGAATGTATACTGAGCCCTGCTCCCAGCCTTGGAGCGCTCATGGGCTGATGGGGAGAGTTGTTCGCAGATGACCTGAGGGATCAGGGGCGACTCCTGGTTGAGGACCCCTAGAGACGAGCATGGGGCAGCATAGATGGCAGGAACAGCAAGGACCAAAGCCTGACGTGGAGGAGTGGGCAGGCCTGGGTAAGGGGGAGTTCCCGGTGGCTGGGGTGACTCACGGACTCCCTTGTCCCTTGGCCCCCCACAGTCTCATTGGCTTCCTGGACATCGCGGTGGAAGTGAACATCACAGCCAAGGTCCGGCTGACCATGGACCGCACGGGGTATCCTCGGCTGGTCATCGAGCGATGCGACACCCTCCTGGGGGGCATCAAAGTCAGGCTGCTGCGAGGGTGAGTGCCCACGGCAGGGGCGCCTTGGGGGACGCTGGGGTGGGCTGTTCCTGGCACTGGGGCGGCACGGTGGTGACGCTGCAGGAGCAGGGAGGACTCACGCGGAGCCACCTCCACTGTCACCTGTGGCCCTGGCCTGGCACAGCCGGGGGCTGCTCCACGGCTGGGAGTCTCGGCTTCATCCTGCCCCATCTCCTCAGGCTTCTGCCCAACCTCGTGGACAACCTGGTGAACCGAGTCTTGGCCAACGTCCTCCCTGACTTGGTAAGAAGCTGCCCCGGCGTGGGGCGCAGGGAGCACGGCTCTCCCCAGACCCAGAGGCCCCAGTTAGGCCTCCATCCCTGGGGGCGTGCGGGTCACCTGGATGGATGGAGGGAGCTGGGGGCAAAGGGCATGTTCCTGGGGGCCTGGGAAGGACCCTGAGGACCGTGAAGGGACAGATTCGTGGAGGGATGATGAGGGGAGCTTGAGAGCCGCACAGCTCCGGGCTTGCATCCGAGCTTGGCACTTGCTAGCTGTGTGACAAGGCACATCGCCTCTCTCATCTCGCTTTTCCCGTCTGTGAATGGGATTCCGGGCTGTGCTGGACAGGGCCCAGCACAGAGACAGCGGTCGGCACGTTAGCAGGCGTTTCTGCTGCCGTGCACCCCTCCCCCGCTCCCTGCCATGCCACCAAAACCGCGTGCCGTTCCTCCCTGCAGCTCTGCCCCATCGTGGACGTGGTGCTGGGACTTGTCAACGACCAGCTGGGTCTCGTGGACTGTAAGTCCTTCCTGCTTTGCTTCATGTGGCGGCAGCTGCCACTGCCTGCTCTGGCCCAGCCCCAGGAAGGACACTGGGGATGCAGCCATGTCGGGGAGGAGGCCCAGCGTGGGGAGACAGACCTGCCCTGGGCCCTCGAAGGGTGGTGTGGCTAGTGCCATGAGCGAGGTGCCACCTGGCCTCTCCTCTTGCCTCTCAACATCCCCCAAAGTCCCAGAGGTTGTTCACTGGGAGCCAGGCAGCTGGGTTTGAGCCTGGCTCTGCGCTGGCAGCTGTGCGGACTTTGAAGGACTCTTCCCAGTGTCCTCGTCTCTAAAATGAAGGGTTTGGTGTCAGCACACAGAGGGACTGGAGAGCAAATGGCAGGAGACACCACAGAGACTGAACAGGTCCTCAGAATCAGGCTTCGGCACCACCTCTGGTGCTGGATTTGCGAGTGAACATTCCTGAAAGCAAAGCTGCTCCACATGGTTGTGCAGTTTGTGCACTGCACAATTCCAGGGACCTCCTTTCATGTACAGTATAATGGCAACCCCTCAGATTGTGCAGTGCGTAGCTCCTACAGCTGTGCAGGACAGTCCTCTCTGGTGGAGTTCCCATTTCTCTGGGACTCCAGGTGGTTTGAGAATGGCTTTCTCAGACAGGTAAGACTCTTTCTTTCATGGCCAAGATGAGGAAGGAAGAGCCCAGGAGGTGGGGCTGTTCATTGCATACAAAGAAATGCCAGATTCAACAAAGCACCACATTGTGGAATCCTAAATTTCTTCCCTGGTGCACAGCACTTCACAGTTTACAAAATGCATCAACATCCAGGATATCATTGTGCTCCCCCCCTCCCAATATTGTCCAAGAGGTTATATTAAACCCATTTTACAGATAAGAAAACTGAGGCTCAGAGTGATGCAGTGACTTGCCTGAAGTCACCCAGCAAGGAAGAGGCAGAACATTTTCTCTCTGTGGCATCTGGAGCTGGAACCTAGGCCCCACCCCCTACCCCCAGGCACAGGGTACAAGGAGGGAAGGTATCCGGACGGGTGAGGGGGACCTCCCTCTGACCCCCACGTTTGCCTGCAGCTCTGATTCCTCTGGGGATATTGGGAAGTGTCCAATACACCTTCTCCAGCCTCCCGCTTGTGACCGGGGAGTTCCTGGAGCTGGACCTCAACGTGAGTGCCTGGGCTTCAGGGCGAGGGGAGGGGCCTCCCCGAAAGGCGGCGCTAGTGAGGGCTCCTCGGGCTTCCACTGCACAGAGGGACCACATTCTGATTAGATGAGGACCTTCTAGGAGCCGTGTCAGAAGACATAATGATAGCCAACGCTTCCCCATGCCTGCCACGTGCTAGGCACATTCTAGATGCTTTATGCAGATTAGCTCAGCCCATCCTCACAGCAGCCATGTGAGGGAGCCACTGTCATTGAGGAAGATGAGGCACAGAAAGGTTAAAGCACTTGCCCAAGGTCACACAGCTAATAAATGTGGACCTGGGGTCTGAACCCAGGCGATGGGGCCAGAAGCTCCTAGAACTTCCGCTGTGGGCTTGGGTCTGCTGGAGGAATGTATCTGGCACTAGTGAGGTCCCAGGAAGCATTTAACAACTGGCTCTCCGCTGGGCCCGGTGGCTCACGCCTGTAATCCTAGCACCCTGGGAGGCCGAGGCAGGAGGATCACTCAAGATCAGGAGTTTGAGACCAGCCTAAGCAAGAGCGAGACCCCGTGTCTACTAACAATAGAAAGAAATTAGCTGGACAACCTAAAATATATACAAAAAGTTAGCCGGGCGTGGTGGCGCATGCCTGTAGTCCCAGCTACTTGGGAGGCTGAGGCAGGAGGATCGCTTGAGCCCAGGGGTTTGAGGTTGCTGTGAGCTAGGCTGATGCCATGGCACTCTAGCCTGGGCAACAGAGCCAGACTCTGCCTCAAACAAACAAACAAACAAACAACAACAAAAAAAAAAACAGCTCTCCATGATTTAAAAAAAATAAAATTCCTGATTTATAGCCTTTGCTGATTTCCATGGTATAAACATTGTACTTCCACCATGGGCAATTTCAAGTTACTAACATGACGTCGCTGAACACAGAGCTGGGCAGAGATGCGCGGATCTGGCCTTGTGAAGTAGTGCGAGCTGGCTGCTTCAGCCCCGCTCTGAATGTGGCCCTGATTGTGCGTGGGGCACACACATCTGTCCTTTCCCTGGGCCGCACGAACGTGGCTATCTCCCCACCAGCCCCGTCAGGTACAGAAGAGCAGGTGCCCACCCGTGCCCGCGTGTATATGCGCGCCTGGAACGTTCGTAAACATGCGTCCATTGGTTACCTGCTGTGTGCCGGGCTCTGGGCTTGGTGCAGGAGGGACAGTGGTAACAAGACAAAGTCTCTGCCCTGATGGAGATATAATCTTTTGGAGGGGACAGGCCGTAAAGAATCACTCCAGAAAATACATAGTTACGTGTCATGAGTGCTATGATAGAGGACCCGAGGCCATCAGAGCCTAAAGCAGGGGCCATGCTATATGCGTGGAGCTCAAGGAGGTGACAGTGGAGCGGAGACCTGCCAGATGAGTGGGACCTAACACGAGAAGAGTGTGGAGGGGAGCAGCCTGTGGGAAGAGCCCATGGTGGGGTGGGGAGGAGGCGGGGGACTGGCAAGGCCCTGGCGGCTGTCCTGCAGAGGGAAGGTGAGGCCAGAGTGGCTTCAGTGAGGCCGACAGTGTCTCCTGGGGCAGATCGCACCGCGCCCTGTGGGCCATGGCGAGGACTGTGGTCTTTGGAGAATAGACACGCCAACGTGCATTTTGCAGATGCATAAACGTGCGAATTCATTACCGCAGGGCTGGGGTCGGAGGGAATCCGTGTCATATCATGGCTATAATTACAAGTGACCATAAAGCAGCAACTGCAAGAGGCTCCATTCCATCACCAACTGAAGACGAGTTGGGGGCCATAAATGAAAGAGCCACTCAGACTCAGTGGGTGTAATCAAGGAAGGCTGCCTGGAGGCAGGTGCAGGCCTCACTCCAGCCTTCAGCCTCCCTCTCCCCACTGTCTCCCTACGCCCCTCCCCATGACCCCTTGGCTCTCTCCCCCCCAGACGCTGGTCGGGGAGGCTGGAGGAGGCCTCGTCGACTATCCCCTGGGGCGGCCAGCTTCGTCTCCCAGGGCGAAGATGCCAGAGCTGCCCCCCATGGGCGACAACACCAACTCCCAGCTGGCCATTTCCACCAACTTCCTGGGCTCAGTGCTGACCGTCCTGCAGAAGCAAGGGGCACTGGACATCGACATCACCAACGGCATGGTGAGTCTGGCCCGCCAGGGGCCAGGCGGGCGGGGCGGGAGAGCTGCCCAGGGCCCCTCCACAGGCCCCTCGCCCTTGGGAGTTTGCTGTGAAGTGAGAACTGCGGACAGTCCACCGCCCGGCTCATCCCCAGCGCACAGGAGGACATCAGTTACGGCAGCATCTGCCCGAGCCTGGTGCGGGGAGGACTTCAGGGGGTCCACAGCCATGGCATTAGATGACACAAATCACATGAGGAGAAAATGCTCCCTATTCAACCCTATTGAATCTTATTTTAATCCTTTTTAGAGAGCATAACATATATTCACATAGATTTTCCTCAATATAAATGTTTAGAATCTCTTCACTTGGTGAACATTGATAGAGAAGTAACTAAAAGATACATTAGAAGGGCCGAGTACCGTGGCTCACGCCTGTAATCCTAGCACTCCGGGAGGCCAAGGCAGGAGGATCACTCAAGGTCAGGAGTTCAAGACCAGCCTAAGCAAGAGTAAGACCCCGTCTCTACTAAAAATAGAAAGAAATTAGCTGGACAACTAAAAATATATAGAAAAAATTAGCCAGGCATGGTGGCACATGCCTGAAGTCCTAGCTACTTGGGAGACTGAAGCAATAGGATCGCTTGAGCCCAGGAGTTTGAGGTTGCCGTGAGCTGGGCTGACACACGGCACCCTCACCCAGGCAACGGAGCAAGACTGTCTAAAAAAGTTGCGAAATAGTACAATTAATGCCTATATATCCCTCACTTAGATACTTAGATTTGCAAGTTAATATTTTGCCACATTTGCTTCATATCTATCCATCCATCCACCCTCCTACCCACCCACTCATCCATCCATCCATCCATCCATCCATCCATCCATCCATCCATCCATCCATCCACCCTCCTACCCACCCACCCATCCATCTACCCATCCATCCATCATCTATGTATCTGTCCATCCATCTACCCTATCTGTTGTTGAACAATTTGAGTTTTTTGAGAGATGCTATTTCACTCCATAAACTTCACCGTGTATCTCCTAAGAACAAGGTGTTCCCCAAAAAACCACAAATTATGTCAACCTTTGATTCCATTAAGAGGAAAGTCTTCATTTCCTCTCTTGCACTGTTAAGTTCCTCTCTTTAACTAAGAGAGAGCAGAGCTCATGCCCAAAGCCTGCCACAGGCAATGATACCCATGCAGAATGTAATGGCGTTGTTTCATTTTTATTGCATTTGGTTTCACAGTTGTCATCTCTTTACGTCAAGTGGTTCTGGTTTTCCACTTTTTAGTTTTTGAGGTCTTAAAAAGTAAGTGAATTTAAAGCAGACACGAAGTCAGTAACAGCACAGGTGGTTCCGGGAGAGGGTAGGAGTCGAGGACTTAGCGGACAATGGGTTGTGCAAATGGACTTGAGCATGCTCACCTTGTTTTGATAAAGAAATACATGTTTAGGCCGGGCGCGGTGGCTCACGCCTGTAATCCTAGCACTCTGGGAGGCCGAGGCGGGCGGATTGCTCAAGGTCAGGAGTTCAAAACCAGCCTGAGCGAGACCCCGTCTCTACTATAAAAATAGAAAGAAATTATAATTGGCCAACTAATATATATATATATATGAAATTAGCCGGGCATGGTGGCTCGTGCCTGTAGTCCCAGCAACTCGGGAGGCTGAGGCAGTAGGATTGCTTGAGCCCAGGAGTTTGAGGTTGCTGTGAGCTAGGCTGACGCCACGGCACTCACTCTAGCCTAGGCAAGAAAGCGAGACTCTGTCTCAAAAAAAAAAAAAAAAAAAAAAAAGAAATACATGTTTAGAGAAGGATTCAGGTCCCGCCTGCTCTTCCTTGCCTGCGGTGAGCTTGGAGGCTGGCCCAGGACACTGAACCACAAGCCAGCCCCTAAGTCTCCGGGGTGACCACTGTTGGACAGGCAGGGCCTCCCAAGGGGTCCTTCAGTGGGAGAGGATGCCCCTGGGTGTCTCAGCGCGGCCAGGAGCTTGCCCACCACGCTAGCCCCCCGCCCCCCCTCCTCCGCGCGCCCCCCACTCCCCCCCCCCGGCTCGCGCCCCCCGGCTCACTCGGCCCTTCTTCTCGTCCCACAGTTTGAAGAGCTTCCTCCGCTCACCACGTCCACACTGGGAGCCCTGATTCCCAAGGTGCGTTTGGCGGTGTGTCCACTGCCTCCAGCCTCACTCTGCACCTGGCTGTCCTAGGAACCGGGTCGGAAGACGCTGAGCACTGGGGCGGGCGCCCTCACCCCACCCCTGCTTGGGAGTGCAGTGACGGGGCAAGGAGGCCAGACCCCCGTGGTCGGGGCACACAGGGTTGAGCGGGGAAGATCCTGAGTTCTAGCGGTGCACCGACCCCTGCAGGTCTCATCCTGGCCTGGCTACACCCTCGCTGTGTGACTTTGGGCAAGAGTCTTAACATCTCTGAGCCTCAGTTTCCTCGTCTGTGAAAAGAGGATGCAAACACCTATCCCATGTTCAGGTTATTCAAGGAGGGGGAAGGAGATAACTAGTAGAGATGCCACCACGGCCGGGCACACTCGGGTGCGGGGCAGCCTGAAGGGGAAGAGCAGCTCCTTGAAGCAGACAAACATGGTTAGGCACCATGCCTTAGACAAAGGATTCATCTCTCTGAGCCTCAGTTTTCTTACCTGGAAAACAGGTAACAATCTCACTGCAAAGGGTAGTAGCAGTGGACCTAGAATCTGGACCCAGGCAGAGCAGGCATTTGATAAATGCTAACTATTATCATTTATTGTTGATAGTTACACATTTTTTTTTAAGAGCAAATGTGCTCTTGTCCTATTAGCAACCAGATATAGTTGGGACAAAGGCCTTTCTCACCCCAGGGCTGGCCCCATCTCTGGTTGTGGCCCGTTACCTTGCAGCTGGCAGCAGAGAGCTCTGTTCCTAGTAAGGGTCGTACAGGTGCGAAGGTGGCTGTCATCGTCAGCCGTTTTGCACATTTTTTCATCTCTTTTCTGCCTGACCCCCCTCCAGGTCTCAGTGGAATTCAAAGGATCTAGTGGGTGGGGACCAAACTCAACACATGGTCACTAGCGCCCCCACGTGGTTATCTAACATAATGACAGCGGCAGCTCCAGCAAGACCCCTCCGTCGACTTGACCTTTTATTTATTGCACCACTTCCCATGTGCACTGCACTTTACAGCTTGCGAAATGGTTCTTAAGAATCCACTATTTCATGTGGTTCTAATAATCCCCCCCATCCATGGGACTAGAGGGGACTCGCATCCCATTTTGCAGATGAAGAAACAGAGGCTCAGAGAGGTCACACAAGGAGGTAGTGGCAGAGCTGGGATAGAAGAGGGACTCAGGCCTTAGTGGTGCTGGGTCTGCAGCAGGGAGATTCAGGCTAGACACAGAGGACGCGTGCTGGAGACCCAGGCTGGGGTAGAGTCACCAGGAGAGGTGACTTCTTTCTATTCCTTTTAAAAGTAACTTTGTTGGTTTGCCCATATATTTATGCTCGTTTAATATATTTAATAAGAATATTCTTTAAAGTATTTTTTTTGGGGTAAATTGGTTATTTAGTAAATAGGGCAAACATCATTTTGTGAATTGTCGCTTAGTAAATTAGCTTTCAGGGAACCAGTCTGCAGCAAATCTCCAGCAAATGCGGGCAGGTGGGGCAACCGTGCCTCATTCGGGGACCTCCCCGTGGAGTCTTCACCCCAGGAAGGGTGTCCAGAGGCAGGCGGAGGGGAGCAAAGGGCCCGGCTGTGTGTCAGATCTGGCCTTGAACAGTTTGCCGCCTGGCATTCCCCTCTGAGCCTCAGTTTTCTCATTTGTAACATGGAGAAAAAATACCCCTTGGAGTTTTGTGATGATTGAATGAAATTAAGAAACGTCCATTCAGCACCTGGCCCAGCCCCCCCCCCAGACCCCACTTTACTTTGCTGGGTACCAAGTTTTGAGCATTTCCGCATGTCAGGCATTGACTTTTGCGGGCATTGTCACACGTAATTCTCAGAATAACCCTATGTGAGAGGCTTGGAGAGGGCAGCTCCCTGCCCAAATCCCACGGCGGGTGGGTGGCTTTGCCTGTGGTTTGCGGACCTCAAGCAATGTGGTCGGAACTGAAGGTGCCCAGCGCGACAGCCCCTGGGCAGCCGCACTGCCGGCCCCGCCCACCTGGCCGGTGCCCGCCCGCAGGTGTTCCAGCAGTACCCCGAGTCCCGCCCGCTCACCATCAGGATCCAGGTGCCCAACCCGCCGTCCGTGACACTGCAGAAGGACAAGGCGCTGGTGAAGGTGTTCGCCACCGCCGAGGTCATGGTCTCCCAGCCCAACGACGTGGAGACCACCATCTGCCTCATTGACGTGGTGAGTGTCTGGAGGTGCAGGCGGGCCCTGCAGACAGAGCCCTGTGGTCCCCTGGAGCCCCCGGACCCCTTCAAAGCCCCACAGTCCCCAGCATCACGACTGTGAGCCCAGCTTTGAGGCTGGAGGATCTGGTTCAAATCCAGCCTTTACTGCTTCTAGCTGTGTGAGCTTGGGCAAGTCACTCCCCATCTCTGGGCCTGATTTTCTCCTCTAGCACGAGGGCATGGCCGCAGGGCATTGGTAACATGCTCGGAGCAGTGCCTGATGTACCATAAAGGCTCCAAAGCGTTGGCCACCATTATTCCCACAGGTGGCCTTGGCCATTCATTCAGCAGCACTTACCGGGCACCTATCATGTGTATGCTTTCTACTAGATGCAGGGGACAGGGGGAACAAGATAGATGGCACCTGCTCTCTTGTCCCTGGTTCCTAACAGGGCACAGATACAAATATGACAATTCCCACATTATTTCACAGAAAGGAATCCTGTCCTCCTAAAAGGCGAATCATGTTACTCTCCTGCTTTCCTCCAATCCTGAACTAAAAACCAGTCTCCTAACAAAGTCCTTCAAGATCATTCTCTGGTCACTTTTCAGCTCCTCCTAGATATCAAGCATGGGCCAACCTCAGGACCTTTGCGCATGCTGTTCCCTCTGCCTAGAATGCTCTTCCCCAGACAGCTGCATGGCTCACTCTCTTCTTCAGGTTTCTGCTCAAATGTCACCTTCTCAGACTTTTCCAGATCACCTATCTAAAATGTCCCCGCCCCTCCCATCTCTCTCCTCTTTTCTCTCTCTTGCTTTACTACTTTGCTTGTAGCCTTAACTTGACATTGTTGTTATTATTATTATTATTATTTGAGACAGAGTTTTGCTCTGTCACCTGGGCTAGAGTGCTGTGGCATCAGCCTAACTCACAGCAACCTCAAACTCCTGAGCTCAAGCAATCCTCCTGCCTCAGCCTCCCGAGTAGCTGAGACTACAGGCACACGCCACCATGCCCAGTTTGGGGCATTGTCAGATAAGAGACTGAAAGTGTTGGTTCTCACCCAGGAGTGGGAACAGATGTCCACCATCTGTTCCCTACTGATCAGCCTCTACTATGTGCAGATTTTCCATCAGAAGCCCAAACATTTGTTTGAGTCATTTCAGAACCCTGCCACAAGCCCCACCAACCCAGGGATGCAGCCCTGACTCCTGCCACCCAGTTCTGCCTGTTCTGGCCCGGCCACTCCAGCCTCACCAGCCCTCTCCCTTCCTCACCCTCTGGACCCCGCTCCATCCCCCTAATGCCAACCTCTTTCCTGCCTCAGGGCCTTTGCACATTCCCTCTGCACTGTCCGGATTACTTCCCCACCCTCTCTTTTAACTGGCCATATCCTGCACACCCTTCAGTCCTCAGTCCAAATGCCCTCTTCTCAGGACAATGCTCACACCAGACTAGGTCCCTGTCACATGCATCCCGAGTTCCCAGGCCTTCTCCATCGTAACTCCACCTGAATTTGTTAGGATCTTTTTTTTCACTCTTTTGTTATTTATTTTGGGTGGGTGGCAGGTGAGCAAAGAGGGATTTTCCTACAAGTCTTCTACTTGGAGAGTCTGGGCCTTTTATGCCCTTTCCCGGGGGAGGGGCAGTTGTGATTGACAGTGATGATGCCCAGTCCCATCTGCAGTGGTTCATCTAAAGCAAGTTCCACAGGCTGCAAGCTGCCCCGCCCCCTCGGAGCCATCGTAGAGAAACTCGGTAAACAGCCTATGCCAATCACCTGGTGCCAATCATGGGGATCCCGTCACATTTGTCTTTCTGAGAAATGTTCACTCCACCCTTACTGTGACTTACTTGCAACCAATAATTAATGTCAGCAGTTTGTTACTCTGGACTCCTTCCTTCCAGAGTAGGGGAGCCCATTCTATGGTGAGTGTTACCGGGAGTCATGTGCTTATAAAGGGGGGTTTGACCCAGGCCTTAGGGAACAACCTGCTATTATGCTCGGGCTTAATGACGCTTAGCACACAGAGAGTCCTCAGAGAGCTACGCCAACACGTGAGGCAGTGATGTCTGATTCTTCTCCCCCTTTCCCTCCAGGACACAGAGCTGCTGGCCTCATTTTCCGTGGAAGCCGACAAGCTCATGATTGACGCCAAGCTGGACAAGTAAGGGCTCTGCCACCTCGGGTCCCCGTGGCGCTGCTGCCGACCCCCTAGGGCAGCCACGAGGGAGGTATCAGAGGTTTCCCGTGTGGCTGTCAGGGCTGGGTGCACCCAAGAGGCTGCAAAGGCGAAAATGGCCCGTGCCTGCCAAGACCAGCCTCACAGACCAAGTGAAGCCATGAACTTATCAGAAAGAACCCACTGCTAACAACAGCAACATCAGTAATAATAGTAGCATTGGTGGCGCTGGTGCACCAGGCTCTGCTCTGGCTACTTTATATTACTGTGTTTCTCCCGCCCAGTGGCCCCCATGGAAGTCAGGGCTATTAACTTACCTTTTTAAGGAGATGAAAGAAAACTAGGGCCTAGAGCAGTGGATTTACTCAGGGCCACACAGGGGCTGTGGGCCAGCCCAGGTCTGCGTGACCTGCCGTGTTGAACGTCTACACCCATGAGCTTTGGAGACAAGCAATGCTGTGTCCACTGACTGTCTGTGTGACTTTGACCAAGTGATTTCACCTCTGAGCCTCAGTTTTCTCTTCTGAAAATGGGGATTATAGTCCCCGCTTCATAGGATTCGTAAAAATAATAACTACTGTTTATCAGATGCTTTCTATGTGCCTGGCATTGAGCAAAGTCCTGGCTGTATCTTCATTAAATTCTTGACATCTGCCTATGGAAATAAGTACTATTATTGTTCCCGTTCCAAGATTAAGAATGATCATATGTAAAGTTTTTAGCATGTGCTAGGTCATTGTAAGTTTTTCTTTTGCAACCAGTATTTATTAAGCCCAGTGAAGGGAGTTACTTATAATATGCTACGGATCAGAGCCACCCAGGAGGTGCCCAGGGGTGATGCTCCACCCGGGCCGGATGGGGAGCAGGGGCCGGCCTCGAGAAGAGCCGGGGAAAACATGTCCCGGCCGAGTGGAGCGGCGACTTTGCTGGGAGAGAGTGAAGTCCTTTGGCCACGGTCACACAGCCAGTCGACGAGAGCCTTACCCATACGGTGTATGAGGCTTGTGGCATCGTGTCTGGTAGACAGTTAGTGCTCAGTGCCTGAAAACCAGGCTTGTTCCCGTGGACCCCGCCCAGATGGCGAGTCTGCGAGGGTGCTGGGGGACCGGCCTGTGACCGTCTGCTGCAGCGCAAGCGCTGTGTGATTCCCAGGCCATCGCTGCTTCTGATGGGCTGTTTTCTTCACCTGCAGGACGAACCTCAACCTCAAAACCTCAAACGTGGGCAACTTTGATGTGAGTCCCCCGCTCAGGCCCCAGGGCCAGGTCTTCCAGCAGTGCGCCCGGGAAAGGTCTCCCAGGGGCTGGCTGGGGCTGGGGAGGCTGGGAGTCCCAAAGGCTGGCATCAGAGCAGCCAGGCCTCACTTTGCAGAGGGACAGATGGAGAAACTGAGGCCCGCAAAGCAAGCAAGGGGCAGAGTAGAGGCAGCGCCTTCTGCCCTGTCTGTGGTGTGGCCTCATTTTAACTGGCTGCCCCGTGGGGTCCCCTAGGCCCAAATCTCTCCACTGCCGGGTGAGGAGGCCACGGGGCCACCATGTCCTGCAGGGCCCTTTCCCCTGGAGCTAGGAGCCCACTGACTCCTGTGTGACCTTGAGCAACACCAGCCTCCTCCGAGCGTCAGTTTCCTTGTCTGTAAAACAAGTTTGGATTCATTTCCAACCTCCCTTCTGACCCCTGCATTCTAGAACTCTGCTTCTCCAAGGAGCCCGAGTCTGAGACGCTAGCATTCTAGGATTCCGGCCCTGTTTCAGCTCTGTGTTTTTTCTTGGGTCCTTCGCCCCACCTAAGGTTTCAGAAATACTTTTTATAATTTTTAAAAAATAAATTAACAACTAAACAGATGCTTGCTTTCTGGGATGAGCTTGGGTGAGATTTCTGCATGTGCAGAGAAAGTCAAACCCATTCGTTGTATTGCTTGGTTTTTTTTGTTGTTGTTTGTTTGGTTTTTTGCTTTTCTAACCCAAGAAAACTGCAGCCTGTGAAGTTGGTATCACCAGGTTCATTTTATAGGGAGAAAATGCCCCAAACTTCATAGCCGGTTAGGGCAGAGTTGGGATCAGAACTGAAAGCTCCAGGATCCGAGTGGAGAAAGGGGCTGACACTTGGCGTGAAATTATGAATATTTGTGGGGCCACAGAGATGTGCATAAGGCACTAAACAAAGCTTTTTTCTCTTTTAATAAGCTTTTCTCATTTAATCCACACAACGTTCCTATGCTTCGGGCACTGTTGTTATCTCCATTTTCCAAATAAGGAAGCTAAGCCCACAGAAGTCAAGTGACTGGCCCAGGGTAACAGGGTCGGGAAGAGGCGGCGCTGGGAAGTGAGTCCGGTCCACCCCCCACCCCTCCCCCGCCCCCGTGTGGCTCTAAATGGCAGGTGTTTTCCATGTAGGAGCTTACATTGGTTTTATAGTCACCCTGCGGGGGAAGGGTTATTCACCCCCACTTTCAGAGTGGAAGCAAGGCTTAGAGAACTTTGGGGAGGTGATATGTGAAGACTCAAGGCCAAGCATTTTATACGATCTGCCCGTGATCCTCACTGCATCCTTGCAAGCTGGGTTTACTGACCCATTTTACAGCTGAGGAAGCTGAGAGTTGGAAAGAGAAGGAACCTGCCTAGAGGACACAGAGGCTGAGCTGGCACGGGATCCTGGAGTGTTGGCGACAGGGCCTAAGGGCCTTCCGTAACACCATTGTGCCATCAGGGCAGGCCACCCTGGACCCTGTGCTCTGTGCCTTCCAGGGGAGGAACGAGGCCTCCCTCAGTCCCTGCCTCACAGAGGCCTTGGACAAGTGCTTGCCCTGCTGCGGGCCTCAGTCTCCCCATCTGTGCATGGGCAGGTGGGTGAGGTGCACCCGGAGGCTGTCAGCTGAGGGGTTCTGGGGTCCCAGGCGCTCTGATTACTGGAACTGAGACTCCCCCAGAGCAGCTCTGCGTCTTCATCTTGGGCCCTTCAGAGCTGAGTGAACCCCCGGGCTGGGTTCGGCCTTCGTTCTTCCCCCGCAGGTCGGCCTCATGGAGGTGCTGGTCGGGAAGATTTTCGACCTGGCATTTATGCCCGCGATGAACGGTGAGTGCAGGCGCCCGCAGCTCTCCTTGGGCACGTGGTTTGGGGACTGGGAGCTGCCCGTTTGCTGGGCGCATTGGACGCACAGCCGTACCTCCTCCATAGAACTGAGAACTCCACTGGAAGCTTATTTACGCCTCCGAATGCAAATGCTGTTGCCCCTAAGGGTCCATCAGCTTTCTTACTTTCTTGTTTGAATGATTGTTTTGTTTATCGATGATCTATGAAAAGTCTAATTATATATGAAAATTTTATGTGTGCAAATTTTAGAAAGTACGGGCAATTTTTAAAATTTTCACCTCCCAGAGGCAATTAATCTCAACATCTAGATATTAATATATTTCCTTCCAAACACTTTTTCCTCTATTTTTTTAATATGGTGAAGATATTTTCTGACTAATACACATAAATAAGTTCTGGAAAAAGTTCAACTAGTGCACATGAAGCCAAAGTTGCCCTTACCAACACCCCCACGCTCCTAACCCAGAACCCGGCCCCCTCGCAGTCACATTGAGTTAGGTTTTCTTGCCCAACTGCATAAATAGAACAGGCTGAGCATGCTTTATTCTCAGTGGTGTCTCAGGAATGTGCCCCCAAGGACTTCACAATGTGGAAGGGGTGACAGACGCAGAAACAGAGAATTCATATTTTGTGACTTATGTAGCAGAGTTCAGGGTGGGTGGGGTGTGGCAGGAGCCAGAGTTGCTTGGCCTGTGGTCCAGGAAGCCTCGCAGAGAGGGGACATCTGAACAGTCTCGGGGAGGCTCAGAACTCACGAGGGACGCCAGGGTGAGGGAGCGAGCTCCAGGCAGGATGAACTGCAAGGACAAAGGCTGAGGGTCTTTGAAATCGCCAGTCTTCTCGCAGATACTGATGGCTTCTAGGGAGACCAACGCCACTGGCCATGCCTGACCGATTTTTGTCTGTTTCACAGCTGTGCTGGGTTCTGGCGTCCCTCTCCCCAAAATTCTCAACATCGACTTCAGCAACGCAGACATCGACGTGTTGGAGGTAAAAGGGGAGACCGAGCTCTGTTCTGCTTCCCTCCCTGCCCTTTGCTCCTTAACTTTGGCCACTGCAAACTGTCAGGCCAGGAATTGGGAAGAGGAAGAGAAGGGGAGAGAAAGGGAGGGAACAGAAGCCTCTTCCTTCAGAGTATGGGGCTGAGGGAACAAGGAGCAAAGCTGCTACAAATCTTTAAAAGAAACTCTCGTGTCCGCAATCTCATTTAGTCCTCACCACAAACACCATTGTTCCCATCTCACAGATGGGAAAACTGAGGCTCAGAGTGGTGAGGGGCTTGCCCAAAGTGGACGTGTGATGTAGTTCATTGGAAAAACTTTTACTATGTACCAGACACTGTGCAAGGGTCCCTTGCAAAGCTCTCCCAGCCCAGTGGGGAGATGGACCTTGGGGTAAATTTTTCTGAAGTAATTGACTAATTATAATCATGACAGGTGCCTTGAAGTTCAAATGCAGGGGCTCTTGTTTCCATTATGAAAACCACCTGTGCTCAGTAACTGAAATTTGGAAAATACAGAAAAGATTAAACAAACACATGTGCATCCTCCTATACATGTGTGTGTCACCCAGAAATTACCCCTCAGAATATTCGGCTGCTTTTCATTCCAGTCTTTCTGGAGTTTTATTTATTTTATTTTTTTTTTTTTTGAGACAGAGTCTCACTTTGTTGTCCAGGCTAGAGTGAGTGCCGTGGCGTCAGCCTAGCTCACAGCAACCTCAAACTCCTGGGCTTGAGTGATCCTTCTGCCTCAGCCTCCCGAGTAGCTGGGACTACAGGCATGCGCCACCATGCCCAGCTAATTTTTTATATATATATCAGTTGGCCAATTAATTCCTTTCTATTTATAGTAGAGACGGGGTCTCGCTCAGGCTGGTTTTGAACTCCTGACCTTGAGCAATCCGCCCGCCTCGGCCTCCCAAGAGCTAGGATTACAGGCGTGAGCCACAGCGCCCGGCCTGGAGTTTTATTTTTAAGCATGGCTTTGTTCAGGGAATCAGTAGAGCATCGGGGTTAAAGAACGAGGGCTTGGAGCCCAGTGGCTTGGGTTCAAATCCTGACTCAGCCAATTTCCAGCTGAGCGACCCTGAGCAAACTACTTAACTTCTCTCAGCCTCAGTTTTCTCCTTCATAAAAAGGAACTAATCATAGTACCTACCCCTAGGGCTGCTTTTAGGATAAAATGAGATTCTGTCTGCAAAGCTCCTTGCATAGTCCTTTGCACATATTAAGCATTCTGGAAGCATCCACCATTATCAGTATGATCATTATAGTCAAGGCTGCTGCAGTGAACATCTTGGTGCACAAAACCGTTTCTGGATTCAGGATTTAGCTCCTTGGAACATACTCCCAGGAGTGAATGAAGGGCCTTTGCGCCAGATGGACAATTTCCTTTCCAAATGGCTGCGCCCATTTGGGCTGCCACCAGCAGTGTGTGGGGACCCACCTGCTCACACCCTGCTAGGCTTGGACCCCAACCCAGGGAGGACCCCACACCCCATTAGGGGAGCAGTCAAAGGGGGATGTACAGTGACCCTGGACGGACAGTGTGGGCAAGGGTCAGATGCAGGCTCTGGGACAGTCCCCAGGGGTGCCTGTCCCAGTTCTATCTCTTGAGCTCCTGTGGGAACTCAGCATTGCTCCGAGCCTCAGTTTCCTCATCTGAAAATGGGGAACAATAATACCCACCTTGTATAGTTCGTGGTGAGAAATTACATGAGATATGGCATTTTATTGTTAAGGGTTATAATTCACTTACACAAAGGGGTCAGTCAACATGAAGAGAACAGGCACAAATTTATCATCATCATTATTTGCTATTTTCTGAGCATGCTCAGTGCCCCACGCACTGTTTCACATGGCTTTAGCCTCGCCACAGCTCTGGCTGCCGACTGCCCTCACACAGTAGGGGAAGGGCCTGAGTGTCAGGGAGGGTGAGCCGCTTGCCCAAGGTCACCCAGCCTGGGAGAGGCAGAGTTTGCACGGAAATAACATGAGGCAGTTCAAACCAGTGGCCCTGGATGGGGCTGTCCTGCAGCCCCCTCCCCCACGGCCTCTTTGAAATTGGTGGAGATGAATTTTACTTTCCTAAAGTATTTTCATATCAAAATACATATTATTTTATTATAAATGACTTAAGTTTTATTTCTCCCTTATATTTCTGTAAGGGGATTATACTGACTTTAAAATATATGTATAAGCAGGTCATGTAACCTATGAACTTTATTCCAGAATAATGAAGGAGGTAAGACAAATGCCTGTAATGAAGTGTAAAATGGGTATTGGGTTTGAAGGGTTTAAAGAAAACCTCAGCCCCCTGCGTGGCCTTGTAGGCCCTATGTAAATGGCAGCTCCTCTTTTTATTCTTTATATGGATGTAGCCATTTACCTTAAGTTTTTATTTCAAAATAATTTTAGACTTACAGAAAAGTTGCAAAAATGGTACAGAGAATTCTAGAATACTTTTTCCTCCCAGCTTCTTCCTAATGTTAGCAACTTACGTAACCAGAGGAAAATGACCCAAACCAGGAAATGAACACTGATGCAAAACTGTTAACTAATCTACAGATTTTAGTCTGCAGTTTCCACTATTATCCTGCGTCTGGTGCAGGATCTCTTTAGAGTCCTCCAATCTGGGACATTCCTCACCTCTTCCTTTTGTTTTATGACCTTGATGTTTCTGACGAGTCTGGCCTGTTTTGTGCAATGTGCCTCAATTTGTATTTGACTAATATTTTCTCCTGACTGGATCAAGACTGTATTTTTGGCAAGAACCACAGAAGAGATCCTAGGCCCTTCTCAGTATTTCACTTATGCCTAGAGGTGTTCACTTCGGTCAGTTGGTTAAGGTGCTTCCTGCCAGGTTTCCTTGCTGTGAAATTACTGCTTTTCCCTTTGTAACTAATAAGTATCTTGTGGGGAGCAGCTTTGAGACTATGCCAATATCCTGTTTCTCGGGGTTTTTGGCACCCATTAATGGTTTTGCCTGAGACAGTTATTACTGTGCTGCTAGCTTAATGGTGATATTTTATTTCTGTAATTCCTTTTTCATTTATTAGTTGGAATTCTACTTTAAGGAAGAGCTGTCCCTTCTCCATTTATTTATTTATTTCACTGTTAACTCGTGAATATTTATTTTGTTCTATGGGCTATAATCTCTTTTGTCATTTAATTTGTTGAAGATTATTTTTTTTTAATTACCATGGGGAGGGGCTCAGGCTCACTTCTCTTACTTTGGGAAAAAGGAGACAAGTGGTAGGGAGGGAAGAGTCTTGTCCTCTTTTCAAGGAAGGATCATTATGGGGCCAGGGGATCCTCAGGCCATGTGACCCCTCGTTGCTGTTCACAGTTATGCTCCCGGAAATGTGATGCTCTGATCCAAAGGCAGGTGAGTGTCTGGCCAAGGTGTAGCCAGAGCCACACGACCCACTCACTGGGCTCTCTGTTCTGCCCTCCAAGGACCTCCTGGTGCTGAGCACATGAGAGGCAGAGATGCTGCTCCAGCTGGAAGAAGCCAGAACCAGCTCCCAGGAGGCTTGGATACCGACTCCCCGTCCCAAGTCCCTTCAGCCATCACAACAGGCCCCTCCCCAGCCCTTCAACCCTCTTCCCACTTGCCCCCACCCTAGAAAGGATCCAACCACTACCCCGTTGGCAAACAATCCCATCTACCTATGGTTAGCCCCCGTCAGGGGGAGGGAAGTCACCTTGGGCGCCGAGGTCTTGCAGACCCCAAGCTGACACCATGCTGCGTACTTTATAATTTCAATAAAAGATTCCACTTCTCCTGCAATTGGGGGTGTCTCCATGAAAGACCCTCCCTCAGGGTCTGGGTGTTTTCTTCCCTTCTTGGCTTCGCCTGGGCACCTGGCAGTGGTAGCTACAATTGGCCAGAGGACGGTCCCTCTGCTGGACAGGGAGGCAAACAGCCAGTCTCTTCATATTAAATACAATTACACGGCATTCGGCATTCGACAGAGAGGTTCCCCTGCGACAGGATGGCTTCGTCACTAATCTCAACTCTGGCATCAAGAGATCATTAAAGAGCAAGAATTTGGAGTAAGTAGGATGAGGTTCAAATCTCAACTTTGTCACTTGGTTATGTGACTCGATGAGTAGCCTTTCTGAACCTCAGTTTTCCCATCTATAAAATGGATAATAACAATGATTACACTCTAAGGTGAGTGGAAAGATATTAAATAAGATCATTTTTTACTGAGGTGCTTAGCACTGAGTCTGGCACACAGTAAGCGCTCAATATGTGCTCACTGTGGTGAGTAACAGAGTCAGCTAATTCCTACAGTGTGAGCCTTTGGAACCCCCTGCCTCTGGCCAGAGGTAAACCGAGGACAAGGAGGGGCACTTGGCCTGTCCCTTGATCAAGACAGTACCTGGGGCCCCTCCCAGAGCAAAGGCAGGCCACGTCTGTGCAGAGTGTCACAGAGCACATTCAGGACAGTTTTAGGAGTTATTTGATCTCAGCTTCTGGCTTTGAGCTGTGTAGAAATACTTAAGTCCCTTTCACACAGTTAAGATTTTTCTCCTGCTTTTTTTTTTCATGTCTTGTTTGTTTTCATTTATGTAAATATCGGGCAGCTAAACTATTGGCTTGTCTGGTTCAAAATTAGGTTCCTGGGTGCATCATTCATTCATTGCCTGCCCGCCCATGTTTTAGGCACTGGGAACTCTCCACTTGACAGGGGACACAGGGCTTCTGTCCTGGCGAAGCTTAGATTCATTCTAGTCCACAAGACAGAAAGTTAACAATAAGTAAATAAATAAACATAGAGACTATTTTGAGATTGTCTCGAAGGCTGTGAAGGGAATAACTGGGACACATATTAGGGAGCGAAGGGGGAGAGTTGGGAGGCCCCACTGGGCGGTCAGGGAAGGCCTCCTCAAGTCATCCCAGACCCCTCACTCTTCCCCTCTCCAGGGCCCGGGGCGGGAGCGGTCCCAAGGTCTCCTGGTCTCCTTGGTAACGCCCGTACCCAAGCCTCTGGGGGGGGAAGGGAGGGGCTTGGAAAAAAGTAGGGCGGGACTTCCTGTCCAGCCTGCCCCACAAAGGGCTAGAGGGGAGGAAGTCCCGCCTTCGGGGGCGGTGCTCGCGGCGGGGACCATTCAGTCCCTGTTATGGCTGCACGTTGTCGCCTTCATTTTTAGAACCATCTCTCTTTTTTTTTTTTTGATTGGCTACATCTGTGGAAAGAACCATCTCTTATAAATAAATTCATCCATTTGTTTCTGTCTCTACTCCACCCTGGCCCCGCTCCCATCATCTCTTGCCGGACCGCTGCTCCAGCCTCCTCAGTGACCCCCTCTCCTAGTCTTGTCGCCAGTGTTCATTCTCCAGTAGGTGGCAAAAGGGTTGGGTTATTAAACCTGCAAATCAGTCGGCTCCCTGCCCATGTTCCCCTTCCGTGGGTCAGTGCTGCTGACTCGGGAGAGGGGCCTCAACGCCTGGCCTGGTCGTTCAGGCCTCGGACCCCGCTGCTCCTGCTGCTCCTGTCGATATGGATCAAACCATCACTGCATCCTGAGTGGACAATGACGAAACCAAATGAATGTTTCCGCTTTAGGGACAAGCAGAGCCTCTACTAAGCATTTCCACCATGCCAGGAGCACTGGGATAAACAGGGCAGCAGAAGAGGTCTTGGGAGGTCTTTACTCAGAGGCTCGCTTGGAGTGGAGTGTCACACAGGTGAGGGCCACACTGAAGGGAAGGCCTCAAGTGCAGCACCTGGTTGCAGTCCCCAGAGTGCTTAAATGGGTTGTTTTGCTGCCCTTTAGTGTAAGGCTGGTGGCGGGCCCCCTCCCTTCCCTAGATCAAAAAAGAAAAGGCTCATGAGACCAGAACCGCCAAAGACCTGCCAAGGACCACTGCCCTGCTGAAAACTACCACACCTGGATAAGAAAGTTTTGGCTCCTGGATTCCACAAATACCGCCAGCCCCTCCTATTTCTCAATGATCACCAAAGGTGGCCCCAGCTCTTCCCGCCAAAAGTCCCTAGCCCGGCCCAAACGACATAAAAGGCCGCATTCCCTTCAAACAGAGGCAACTTCTGGGCCCCCCCCCTCTTAGGACCCCAGAACCTCATCAGGGAACGCTAAATAAAGCCACATTGTTTGGCCCTACTCTTTCTCTCTGTTTCTTTCACCGCCGAAAAACCTTACATTTAGGAATTTCTTTCTTTATATAGAAAAAAATTAATTTCTGTGTTTTTTTTCCTTTTTGAGACAGGGTCTCACTCTGTTGCCCAGGCTAGAGTGCTGTGGCATCAGCCTAGCTCACAGCAACCTCAAACTCCTGGGCTCAAGCAATCCTCCTGCCTCAGCCTCCCGAGTAGCTGGGACTAAAGGCATGCGCCACCATGCCCGCCTAATTTTTTCTATATATTTTAAGTTGTCCAGCTAATTTCTATTTTGGTTTTTTTTTTAGTAGAGTGAGAAACAGGTGATGAGCCCGGTCAGGGCTCCACCTTGTGGCGAACTCTGGGAACTGCACCTGCCCCGCCCCGTCCCTTCCAGCGAGAGCCTGAGGGGCGGAGCCTGGGACGGTGCGACACACCACCACCTCCGAGAACTGTCCAAAAATCACCAGGCGGAGGGAACAGCTTGAGCAAAGTTGTGGTGCGGTGACCTCAATCAAACCCTCCGCCTTACCCAGCTCCCCAGAGACGATCCCTGCACGACCACAGAGGCTGCCAACTGCATGCACTTGAGCTGCCCCCTGCCTGCTGCGGGCCACGCGGACACGTGGCAAGAAAGGCCCGGCGTGCCTGCCGGGCTCCCGCTGGAAGGGGCGGGGCGGGGCAGGCGCAGTTCCCAGAGTTTGTCACTAGGCGGAGCCGTGACCCCGCTCATCCCTGTTTCTCACACTTCTCAGAATGCGAGGATTTCTGTAGAGTAGCATTTGTAATGCCAGGCACTGCGCATGATCTCGTTTAAGTTTCACAGCCACCTCCTGAGGTTAGCAGCATCACTGTCTACTTTATTGTTTTTTATTTTTCCTGCTAGCACATTTATTTTATTTTATTTTTTCCAGCATATTGTGGGCGTACAAATGTTAAGGTTACATATATTGCCCTTGTCCCCCCCCCCCAGTCAGAGCTTCAAGCGTGTCCATCCCCTAGTTGGTGCTCATTGCACTCATTGTGTTTGTATATACTCATCCCTTCCTCCCCCCACCTGCCCGACACCCGATAAATGTTATTCCTATATGTCCACATAGGTGTTGATCCGTTAATACCAATTTGCTGGTGAGTACATGTGGTGCTTGTTTATCCATTCTTGAGATATTTCACTTAGTAGAATGGATTCCAGCTCTATCCAGGAAAATACAAGAGGGTGCTATATCACCATTGTTTCTAGTAGCTGAATAGAACTCCATGGTACACATATACCACATTTTATTAATCCACTCATGTATTCATGGGCACTTCAGTTGTTTCCACATCTCTGCAATTGTGAATTGTGCTGCTATAAACATTCGAGTGCAGCATCTTTACTTTAGAGATGAGGAGATTGAGGCTCTGAGTGGTGATATGACTCAATGTGTGGATCGGGGAGTCGAATTCTTAGGTTCAAATCCCAGTTCTTGGGCCTGCTAGGGTACTTAGCCTCCCCATTCCTCGGGCTCCAAGCTGAAAAGTGGGGCTAATAATAGCAAGAATGTTTTCAATAGGCCGTAGTAGTTATGTGTTTATTTTTATCCCATGCCCAGACATGTATCATTTCACTCAGTCTTCACAGTCACCCTAGGTGGCTGTTTGCACCCCCGTTTGGCAGATGGGGAAACTGAGGCTGAGTGAGGTTGGCTGCCTGGCCCACACCCACAGAGCCAGGCAGAGCCAGCGGCACCCCCAGGTGTTCTGGTGGAGGGCAGGAGCGGGTGTCAGGGGCCTCAGGGGTGCCCTACCGTGTCCTTGCTGAGTCTTCCATGCCATTCTGGCCTCAGTTTCCCCACTAGTACCACAAGTTATTGGGGTGTATGAGGTGGAGCCCCTTCACTACCCCTGGTTCTGACTGCCCTGGAGGGAATGCAGGGTGACATTCGAGCGACCACCCCCTGGAGGTTCCCAGGGCTGGGCCCTGGGCCCTGCAGCCAGAGGAGGCTCCAAGCCCCTAGGTGCCTCCCCACCCACACTGAGCCACCCCAGAGCTCAGTCCACTCTGGACCTCCACTCTTGTCACTTGGGCCCATGACCTGGTGACACACTTGAAAAAATGGTTGTTTCCTCTTTTTGTCTGGACGGTCTTTGTGAACAACCTAAGGCCCTGTAGGCCTTGGGGACAGTCGCATCGAGCCTGATGGTGGCACAAAGAAGGGAGGGAAGAGGCGAGTGGAGCCAGCCTTTGGAGTTCCCCAAGTCTTCACGGGGCCAGGACACCTGTGTCCTTAGCCCAGCAATACTCAGATGGATGGTGGGGTCTCTGGTCACAAAAGGACACCATGAGTGGCTCTTGGGAAACATCCCCACAACAATGACGTTCATTCTTTCAGGCAAAAAGTTCAGCCAGGTAACATCTGATATGTATCTGACTTATGCAAATCTGAAACATTGTCCTGCAAAATATTAATGCATTTTTACATTGCAAACAGGAAGTCAAATAAAACATATCCCATCCCCCATTTTTCCCTTGTCAGGAACACACGCCGATATACAAGCTCATCTCCCCGTCTCAGGGCTCCCCTCTTCCCTCTCTCCCTGCCTCACAGCTGAAGTTCCTAGAGCTGGCCTTTCAGCCTTGACCGTGCACTTGAAGCACCTGGGTCCTTGTGAAAATGCCACCCTGCGAGCAGCGTGCTCTTCTGATTCCCATGGCCACCAGGTCCTCAGCAGTCAACCTGTAGAGGAAGCCAGGGGACCTCGTCCGCCTCATCTTACTCAACCACAGCACAGACACCACGTCCATGAAGCAGGTCTTCCCCAGGCCTTACCCTCTGGCTTTCCCCCTGCCCCTCTGACCACTGCACCTCTGCCTCCTTTGCAGATACGTTTTCATGTCATATCGGCCAACTCTTGTATTCCTCCCCGCTGGCCACTGTGATGGGTTAAATGCTCAGCATATAACCCCAGCAAGGCCAACAGGAGTCAGTCCTAGGACTTTTGAAGAGATATTAGGAAAGAGATACTTTCTACTGGCGTTATTGAGAGAGTGTGGGCCTGGAGCTGCTGTGGCTGTCTCTGCCACTCCTTGGAGGAAGTCAGTTTGAGGATAACACCAATGAAGAAGAAAGCTGAGCCAAGTCGTGGAGAGAAACACAGTCGTGAAGATTGCCTTTGAATACCTGGATTCAGCCATGCCTGAAACCCATGGACCTTCAAGTTGCACATGCCAATAACTCTCTTCCACATCTAAGTCAGTTTAGGTTGTGTTTTCCATTACAAGTAGCCTGAAGAATTCCCTCCGACAAATGCAATTGACAAACACATTTCAGTTCATTCTATGTAAGCTGTAGTGAGAAGTGAGATAAATCCCAGGCAGACTTGGCTTTCCGGAGTAGACAACTGTGTGTGTGTCGAGGGGTGGGGGTGGCATGGCAAGGAAGAGACCTGTTCAGAAACAACAAGGCAGAAAGTGAGAAGCCTTCCTTCCTTGATCCAGCCGGCTGGGGCAACAACGAAGCCTTCATAGCAGATGTCCTCTGGGGGCCAGGGAGAATTGGCAGGGAGGTGACGTCCTCAGACCTGGCCTTGGCGCTGGGAGGAGCCGCTGCAACGAAAGTCTGAGAGTCGGGAAGGGAATTCGGGAGGCGGTGAGCCGAGGTCCACAGGCAGGAGTCCCGTGAGGACCCCGCGCAGAAAGACAGGGAGCTGCGGTACCCCGTGGTTTTCCTTCCCTCTCTTCATTGAGAGGCCACCACGCAGCGCTCCAGGACCCCCTGCGTGTCCCTCTTAATGCCTCCCCAGTCCCCGGCTGAGCCTGGGGTCGCTCCGCACCCAGCGTCCTCTACTCACCCACC